AAATTCAAATCCCGGGCTTCATTAGCAAGTGCGGTATGCATACATTACCCCGCTAGTTCGAACTAGCGGGGTAGTGTAGACATACCCTCTGAGGCTCTACTGTACATTACAGCATGCTCTTTGTTCTGCCTCAGAGACATGTGGAAGGCTGCTGTAAGGAAGGGCTGGGATAGTGCCCATATTAGACACTATCTTACTGCAAATGGGTTACCTAGGGAGGTGGTGGAGTCTCCATCCCTAGAGGTTTTTAAGTCTCAGCTTGACAAAGCCCTGGTTGGGTTGATTTAGTTGGGATTGGTCCTGCTGTGGCAGGGGGCTGGACTTGATGACCTTCTGAGGTCTCTTCCAGGTGTATGATTCTATAAATATTATTGATTTCTTTTCTACTAAGTGGGTAGAGTGGGAGGGCTATGAAGGAGGAAGACAAGAAAACATTTCAAGCCAGCTTTTACATGAAACTCAGAATGTACCAAGCACTGTATCAAATTATTTCTTGCTGAGGAAAAACACAATGCAGGGATCTATTACCTGCAGAAATCCCTTGAGAAATACACTACAGAATACAGCTCCATCTTAAAAATATGTGTTCTACTTATAGTCATTTTATTATGCAGAGAATTTTTAGTATTACCTGCCATATTGGACACAATTCTGGTTTCATTGGTAGAGAGAGTAGTAGTACCAAGGAATGCAGAAGTCCAAAAGACAACACGAGTCAAGAGACATTCAGAATGCCGGTCAAATCCAAAGAGATGGTGCTATGGCTTTAAAAAGCATGGAATTGACCATGGCAGGAGATGGACTTTAGCTACCCCTTGTGAGGGGCTATGTATAGATAGGGGATAGAGGATGAAAGAGGCCAGCTGAAGCTTGCTGTTTGCTTTTCTTGAGTGCAAGAGAAATGTTAACACTCCCCGGGCCCAGAAGGGGCTTTCTGATTTAGAGCATGGTCCCTCCATGCGGAATGAAGCTGTTGCTACACCTCAAAAAGTAGGCGAAAGATTCACCCCTGAATCTACTTCCACAGAGACGTGGTGCCTGCCCAAATGCTTCTCACTTCCCTGATAAAATAGCTCTGCATCTTCCTAGCCTTAAACTTGTGTGAGACAGTCAGAAGTGCCATACTCTTTTTCACGCTTTGCAAAGAGGCCATAAAAATCAGCATAACTTTCATTTACTCCACTAGTGCAGTGTGAAGGGGGCCTTGTATAAATAAGAATTAGGCTGAAGGCCTCCGCTCTGCACTGGAAAAAAATTAAACCAAACCTCACCCTTTCAAGGCATTTAAAATACATTAATCTGCTAGCATGTTCAGTATGTCCCTAATTAAAACATATTATTGAACTGCCTGTATATTGTCTTATGTTGGTTGGAAACTGAAAGTAAACTATCTTGGAGATTATTAATTCATGTTTATTTCATATAGCCTGTTATTTTAATTCACCTGACAGATCCCAGTGAGTTTATCATGTTAAAAAGCTTTCAAAGCAGGAGTCACCTTGGCCACTCCTATCTCTCTGGAACTGCTGGTGCAGCTGAGCAGTTGCCGATTTTTTTTTATTTTTTATTGTTTTGCCATAGAACTTAAGGCACTCAATTTCAATTAATTGATTCAGGATAACACAAGAACCAACACATATTGTTATTGTGTACATTCATTTTTAGAGAAAAGAAAAATGATAAAACATGGGTCTTCAGAAACTGCTAGAAGGCAATAAGGTCAATGTTACCAAATTTTATCCATTAGAATAGTGATAGAAATGTAGCCGTGTTAGTCTGGGGTAGTTGAAGCAAAATGCAGGACAATGTAGCACTTTAAAGACTAACAAGATGGTTTATTAGATGATGAGCTTTCGTGGGCCAGACCCACTTCCTCAGATCAAAACCATTAGACAGCATCCGTGCACACCAAAGCCATTTTGTTACTGTTCAGGTCATTATAGGCAGAAGGGGGCTTTATTTAGGTAAGGTTACAGAGAACTAAACAGCCCCTTACTTCACCCTCCTCATGTAAAAATAAATATGGTGTAATCTAAGCTGTGTTTTCAGTCAGCCTAGTGTTTCTCTGACTACATCTGGGATTGTTTGTAGTGCTTCTGTCAGCAAAGTA